CAGTACCCATGTCAGATGACTCCTAACCACCTTTAACTACAGTCTCAAGGAATCTGACACCCTCTCTTGGCCTCTGAGAATATCACACACACCCCCACACACACCCCCACCCCCGATTTCGACAGGGGCAGGGCACAGCAGGAAGGCTCTGAGCTCATGTGACTAAAGAAATGGTACAGGGACCAAATGGGACAACAGGATGTTCACAGGTGTTATAAACAAACAAACAAACCACTTGAATGAAGCTATAACAATACAAGTAGCACTTTGGAAAATCTCAGGATAAAAGTTGGAAAAGTATTTTATGCCTGATAATGCCAAATGAATATAGTCATGGTAGTAGTGTCCAAACTTTGTATCTATATAAATGTTTAAGCATGTGACTTTTTAATCATAAGGAACATTTGTATATGTGTACATACGATAGAGACCTCAATATTTTATTTTATTTTATGTGTATTTTGCCTGCATGTATGTCTGTGCACCAAGTGCATGCCTGGTACCTGTTGGTGCCAGAAGAGGGAGTTACAGACAGTTAGAACCATCATGTGGGTACTAGGACTTGAACCTGTGTCCTTTGGAAGAACAGTCAGTGCTTTTAACTGTTCAACCTCTCTCCAGCCCCAGTTTGATTCTTTAAGAAAGAAACATATGTTTGTGTATGTGTTTATGCATGTGTAGATCTAAATGTGACTGCATGTCTACCAAATAGTGGTCTAAGTGGCCAAATGATCTTTTGTTCTGAATAATGTGGTTCTTTCATTCACTCAAAAAACATCTGTTGAATGCCTCCATGTATCAGGCCCATGGTTAGGTGCTAAGAATAGACAAGATACTCTCCCAGAGTTTTGCTCATATTGCAGAGGTATGTGCATCGAAGTATGAGCAAACTGCCAGGGGACACAGAATCCCGAGTCACCTTTTACTGCTAGGAAGGTAAGGAAGGGCAGTGGCCAAAAGGGAAGCCCACCCTTCTTTGTCATTATGTCACAGCGTTGTTTTCCTCATTCCTGCATCACCCCAGAGTATGTGAATGATCTGTTGACTTTACTAGAGATAATACATTGAGTCACAGGGTAATGATGAAATAGTCACAGTAACTTTATGGACAGGATGCAGCCACTGTAAATGATTATGTGAGAAGATTATTTAAAGTATAAAATATACTTTAGATGGATATGGCAAAAAAGTAACATATATAGCGTGCAATTACATACAATCTCCACATCAAAAAGACCACAAGCAGGCTAGGCATGGTGGCACACACCTTTAATCTCAGCACTCAGGAGGCAGAGAACAGCGGATCTCTATGAGTTCGAGGCCAGCCTGGTCTATAGAGTGAGTTCCAGGGCAGCCAAGACTATAGAGAGAAACTTTTGTTTCAAAAAACCAAACATACAAAAAACAACAACGAAAACCAAGCAAATATAAAAATATTTAGTTTTAAAGCTGCAACAATAAAATATGAGAAAATAGATACATTGAAGAAAATATCAGGATTACCATTGTTCTATGTGCTACAACTTAAAACTCCATAGGAAAAAAAACCATAGATAAAGATAACGTTAGGAGAAAATTTGCCAAATAGTGAAGAAGTCAAACATATGAGAGATTTCTACTAACCTTCTTCATAAGAAGGCTTACCAGAGCATGTATGTGGGCAGGGGAGAGGCTGATTCAAGAGCTGGGGTGTAGATAGCCCCAGCAGAAAGAGCATTTGCCTGAGTACAAGCTCTGAGGTCCATCCCTAGCACTGAAGTGGGGGGAAAAGTACAGGGATGGGGCATGAAAAAAATACTGAAAATATATAATGTGGGGATAAGTAACTGTGGAAGAAAAAGGAATCTCCAAGAAGGCAACAGACTGAAGATCCAGTCTGCAGTCTCTACCCAAGAGAAGCAATAAATTCAGATGGGAGAGTCAGTCTTGAAAGGAAGAAAGGCATTCATCCTCCAGTGCGACGGAGGGAGATCAGGGTAAAAATAAAATCCCAACGTGCGGAGTTACCGTCTCAAAGGCACATACGGTGACCATCTAGACGTGTGTTTTGTTAAATGATTAAATACAAATGAATGATATGGTCATGTTTCTTCTACTCTATCAAGATTAACTATAAGGTACGTCCCGGTGGTGCACATCTGTTACCCTAACCACGGGATGCAAGCAGGGCTGCAACAGTGACAGCACAGGGTCCATGACTGCAAGGACGGTGCCGTAACAGCGCCCGCCTGTCCTGTCGGAGGGTCGGCCTTGCTCTCCGTCTGGAGTGCTCATGGCTGTCATCCTGGGTGCGAGTTCCAGGTCTAAGGAGAAAATTCATCGACTGACTTGCCTTACACATCTATGTAAGGCCTCACGTTGGATGTACTTTGTTTGTTTTCAGATAGGGACTTGCTTGGTAGCCCAGGCTGGACTCACTCACACTCGTGTGCTACCACGCCTGTCAGCTGAAGGTTATTTGACAGGGTTTGTAGTGAACTGATGTTCTGGCTGTGACCCCTGAAACAAGGTCAGATACAGGATTTGCCACTTGTGGTATTACTGAAACAAGTTTCCATTTTTTTGAACATTGTAGACTTTTACATTTAGGATACTCAATCTATAATAGATTTGATTTTTTTTAAAAGTCCTAACAGAAAAATTCTGAAGGGATTCAGGTGTTATTTTCTATACTCATTTAATAAAATGCCATGTTTTATCCAGAAGCACAATAAAAATTAGGAAGAAATACTTACCAAAGAAAGGCACACATGGTGGATTAATAGACCTGAGTTTTGCCAAATATTTCTTATAATGATCTTCACTCAACTCATGAGCTTCCTCTAAAATTTTCTTTTGTCTACTTGGTATTTGCTATAATAAAAAAAAAAAATTAGGAGGCCTCAGTTGTACAATGGATTGCAAATCTTGCCAAAAAAATACCCAACTAACCATTGTGGCCCAGTCATATCAGTTCGACTCCAAGAATGCTAGTACTGTTTTTATTTTTTAAGTTCTATTTTTTTGAGACAAGCTCTCACTGTGTGTGTATTCCTGGCCAGGTTGGAACTCACTATGTGGGTCAGGCTGGCCTCAAACTCATGGAGATCCACTTGCCTCTCCCTCTCAAGTGGTGGGATTAAAGGCCTGGTTAATGCTGTTTTCTTTTCTCTTCTTTTAAAGCCTTTTTCATACACTTTAGCACACACTTAGAAGTGTGCATGAGACAGTGTGTCTTGCCACACCTCATACAATCCATGTGACTTAGCTGAGTGTGACGACTGAGGGTAGCTCAGCAAGCTCGCTAGCAGATAAAGACACTTGCTGCACAGGCCTGCTGATCTGAGTCCGATTCCAGAACACCATCAAGACGGTAGGAGGGAGTCTACTCCACAAAATCCTTTTGACCGCCACATGTGCCCATGGTAGACACTCGAGTGTGTGCACACACAAAATTAAGAAAATAAATGATGAATGTTTTTTTCTTTTAACAAGTTGGAACCCATGACTGAATGGGAACACTTAATTTTAAAAGAGAAACCATTCATTATGAAATTTAGGTAAGTCCATATTTTAACCTATTATTGGAAAAACAAATGAGGCATTTAATATTAAGTATCATAATTGTTGGCCGGGCAGTGGTGGCGCAAGCCTTTAATCCCAGCACTCGGGAGGCAGAGGCAGGTGGATCATTGTGAATTCGAGGCCAGCCTGGTCTACAGAGCGAGATCCAGGAAAGGAGCAAAGCTACACAGAGAAACCCTGTCTCGAAAAACCAAAAAAAAAAAACAAAAAA